TTTCCACAGTTGGTGTGTTTTTCTATATTAGTATTTATTTGTTTTTGTACGACTAACCTGAAGAATGTTTGTCTTGTTTTTACTTTCCGCTTTTGCTTACCTAAAGTTATTTTTATCAACATTGAATTTTCTGTTCTCATTCATTTTTTATCAATTGATATAGTTTAGGTGGAGCCGGAGAATGATTGATAGCGAAAAACTGGTGTCGCATAACAGGCTAACTCAGGTCCATGGACTTCGGCAGCCTAAGAAGGCAGTCCATCTCCGGGGAGGAAAACCCAAAATACCCACTACTTGTTACAATTATCTCCTCGCATATAAAAAATCTTATCATATATATATATATATATATATATATATATATATATATATATTTTAACGAAAGATATATATATATCTTTCAGAGTCTGTCTATATTTCCTCAAGGACACATGGCACAGGATAAAGGCGTTGGTTAGATCCAGTGACAGACCCAAAGAAGGTGAGTTCAATACCTGGTTAAGGCAGTGGAGAACTTTCGAGGGAAAATTAGGAGGAGATAACTGATAACTGACATCCATCAAACATGGCACGTGGAACTAGAACAGTCTACCCCAGTGATCGAAATAATGGGTTCAGTTCTAAATTCCAACCACCTGAAGAAGGCCGGAGCGTACAACGGCCGAAACGTTGTGACAAATATGGCGACAAAGATGAGGACAATAGTCCGACTAATGTAAATACTGTACTATATATATCTTTCGTTAAAATTTTTTTATTTTCTATTTTATTAATTTTTTATTTAGTTTTTCCAGTGTTCTTACATTTTTTTTCATTTGGTGGGAATGAAGATGTAAAAGAAACTGTCCATATCCTGCCACGCACTTTCGTCATCTTTCTTAGCCATTTTCACGGGGGTTTTGCTTTAGAGTTGTTAGTTTCTATTCCTGTATTGACAGTGTAAGATGTATTATTTGTGTTGTTTTGAATTCTAGTAGGATCGTTAATTCCGAGCCATCGCGTGTTGAGCATATTTAAAATTCGAGTGAGCGACTTTCTATTTTAAAAGGAAATGTCCGAAAGCGCTTAAGACAATGGACGATATGGAGACTTTTTGTACTCTCTCAAGCCCACTACTCTAAAAAGTGTAAGAACGCTGTAAAAACGGAATAAAAATATTAATAAACCGTCCTGGGTAAGACGATAAACTACATCCGCGTCCTGGGTAAGACGATAAACTACGTCCAACAGCAAGGCCTCAGATCAGGAGGTTTTGAGGAGCGTGGAACCACCTCTTAATTGCTAGCGTTCCCAGGTCCACCCTGACCCGGGGTGGTAGCACCTGTTAGGGTCCCAGCTATGGGCACATAGTTGACACCCAAACTTGTGTAAAAATATGTTTTAATACCAGAAATACTTTGTAATAAAAAAATATTACCAGCAATTATTTTTAAATGGAATAATTAATATCAGCAATACTTTTAAAAAAAGTACTAGCAATACAAACAGCTATACATTCTTTGAAAAAAATATTACCAGTTATAGATTTCTCCAAGGAAAAATATTCCCAGAAAAAGATTTTTGAAGAAAAACATATTACCAACAATAAAAATTTTGTCGGCATTAAATAACCCATTGACGTTGATATGCCATAAACCAAACCAAACCAAACCAAAATTTAGAAAATATTTAGAAGGAATATATATATATATATATATATATATATATATATATATATATATATATATATAAAAAAGAGAGATACTGCAAACGTTTTTTAATGTGGATTTTTTTTTTTTAATATTATGCTTTTATTTTCCATAATGGAAAATAAAACGTAATATTTTTAAAAAATCTACATTACAACCAAAAACGTTTGTGGTATCTCTTTTTTAATATACACACTTTTCTCTCGTTGGAACTACTATAACCTCTTCCTTTTTATTATATATATATATATATATATATATATATATATATATATATATATATATATATATATATATATATAAGAATATTTTGTTAAATAATTGAGAAGTACTGTCTATTTTTTTGTATTTGAATGCTTCATCAAGCAATTTCTTGGTAGTCGTAGAAAATAGATTAAGAAAACTACCAAAATTTAACGCCGTGAAGATGGTCTGAGATGAGACTGAAAATATTGTTGAAATTAAAAATTATTTGAAAGAAAATTTTTGTATTTTTCTTCATCTATTTTCTACGGCTACCGAGAAATTGATTCATGAACTTGAAAGAATTAAAACAAAAAATAAACAGACACAGTATGTCTAAATTATTTAACCAAACCTGTTTGAATAAAATATGCTGCTAAATACACAAAAATATATATATATATATATAGATATATAGATAGATAGATAGATAGATAGATAGATAGATAGTGTATGTTTTGTAAAATACGGATTTTGCTTCTTGATATTCCGACAGAGATTCTTGATATTATTTGTATTCCGACTAAACACGAACTATAATATAAAATTGAGCCAACTGCGGATCAAGGTGAGTCTGGGAACATCAGCGATTAAGAGATCGTCCCAGGCTTCATTTCACGATTTAATAGGTTCGATTGGATCAGCTTAAAAACGTTCCCGAAGATACCGTCACTTTTCAGCTTCTGGAAAAGATCTAAATTCCATACCCTGTCAAAGGCTTTCGAGATTTCCAGTGTTACAGCCCGGGATTCACTATTTTTATCTAGAGCATTATAGACACTTTCGGCAATTATCGTTAGTACATCAGCTGTTGATCTGAAGAAACGAAAGCTGTATTGCTTGTCTGAGAAAAGGGCCTGTGAATAGTGAACCAATTCAGCATTGATTAAGGCCTCTAGGAGTTTTCCTAAAAGAGTCAGAAGGCTAATAGGCCGATAGATGGATGGCCGGGAGGTTCTTAAAAACTGGAACAACAGACGATGATTTCTAGCAGGCAGGAAAGTAGGAGACAGCGAGGCATTTATTATACAGTTTATAGAGAACAAGAGCTAATTTCGGAGCACGTTTCTTGACTATTACATGGATGACAACGGGCCCACATGCTTTGATTAATGATGATAGCATAAACCATGGAAGTGTTTATATGCATATCATTCAACAGAGAATCAGTTCTAAGTGGGGGTTCGGCAAGGGTACTCCAGATGAGTCAAGACTAGAGTCTGAGGAGAATTAATGGACAAAGCATTCAGCAGACGATGATAACACTTCAAATCGATTGAAGAGTGGAGAATAAAAACCTCGCATTTATTTAGTATCCTTTTACAGAGACGCCAATAGTCACATGAGGCTAAGTTTTTAGAGGTTATGCGGTGCCTCATTCTCTCAGCAAACATGGAGTTAGCTCTTTTGAGGACTCGCTTACATTTATTACGAGCAGTAGCAAATGGTTACCTGTTATGACGAGCTGTCACGCAGGTATAGCCGGAAATAGTGAACAATGTTTCCTGTGTGTTATGTCGGCCGAGCATAATAGTTTGAACCATGGAGAGGATTGCGGTCTCACTTGGTACTTCCCAGACGGTATGTAAGCGTCCATGTCGGCTTTGACCCAAGACGAAACCTCAGCAGCGCAATTTTCAATTGGGAGGTTGAAGATGTCAGTCCAAGGGCGTCACGAAAAAAAAATCCGGAATGAGTCCCAATCAGCGTGCTGGTACCGGAAAGAGGTCTTATGGATAGGGGATTCCTGTTTAATGGATGCTTGGAAAGAAACATGAATAGTTACCATAGAGTGGCTGAGTTACCAAGAGGGGCGGTATTGTGAAGCTCGGCAAGAGAGAGTAGAGGGGGTAAGAAACAGATCCAGTCGAGAAGCATGTTGCTCGATTTGGCTAAGGAAACAAGTAGGGAAGTCCACGATTTGAGTGAGGGATTGAGCAATGGAAAAATTAATGTCTGTATACAGCAACATTTAGAATGTTTCAGCCACATGTGGTGAGCATTAAAGTCACCGAAGATGTTCGCCGATGGATGGAGAGAAAGTGCCTTTTTTTTCAATTCTGTCAGCTATTGCGTGTAATATACAGCAGTCGTGGGAGGAGGGGGGAATAAAGGAAAACGAGATAGCTGACAGCGTTTAGTAGCGAAAGACGGAAGCACATGAAAGAGTAGTCAACGGCTATGAAAGACAATTCTCTGGCCATCGGAAGATTATTTGCTGCCGGATGTAGTTTATCGTCACATGGGTCATCTTCAGAGTGGTTAAACGAACATTTAAACGAAGATATTCATCATCAAAGCAACCCACACTCTACAAAATATATTTCAAACTAGTCACAACACATTACATGCATCTAGACATATGGTTCTGTTAATATTTCGGTCTCTAACATGACACGTCAAGAACCGCATCTTGAATTCATGACTTGCGACTGCTATTCCGCCACCGTTCTCGTCGCATAGCAATCTTCTATATCAACATAATGGAATATCATCTTTGATGGTGAATGTCTTTGTTTAAATGTCCGTATAACTACTCTGAAGATGGCTCATGTGAGCCGACAGTTTAGATAGAAGAACACCATAATAAAATATATCCAAATGTTGGACAATTTCTGTCTTTATTTTCACCCGAAATTAAAGCAACCTTATGAAGTTTAGAATGGCTAATAATCAAACATTATAGACATTCATTGTCTGTTATAATTAACAATATATGTCTGAATAATGATTTGCTACCCCAATACACTATATATATTGATATAAACATAATGCGAGCAGCGTAGATTCCAGAAATAATAAGCATATTGATTGTTAGTCAATATGGAAGTACAATTCAGGCGTCTGGGTGAGCGATAGTCCCAGTGAAATGAATCGAACCTATGTAATCACGCGTCAAAGTGATCATACAGAGTTAGATACTACCAGTATGGTAGATTTTACAAGTATACTTGTTTGTTGTTGAGAACAGAAAATGATTGCCTTTAAAATTCAGAATTTATTATAGGACTAAAATAAAATGACAATAAACAGAAAAGGGAAAATGCCTCAGCCATCTTGCGAGCTTACAATGAAATATTAATGATCTTGAATGCACAGCCACTTAGGCATATATGAACAAACAAAGATAGATAGATAGATAGATAGATAGATAGATAGATAGATAGATAGATAGATAGAAACAAGGTAAGATAGCTAGCTAGCTAGCTAGCTAGATAGATAGATAGATAGATAGATAGATAGATATAAACATGATAAGCTATCTATCTATCTATCTACATAGATAGATAGATAGATAGATAGATAGATAGATAGATAGATAGATAGATAGATAGATAGATAGATACTGAATATCTATTTGATGTAGCAATTAGAAAGAGTTCAACAACTTAAGAAATGACGATTTAACACATTTGATTCTTCCACTTATCAATGATAACGGCAAATTACACACAAACACACACACACAGATATTCACAAGAATGTAGAATCAAGAGCCGTATTAGAACTTATGAGTATTAATGATACTATTAAATCCGTAAGCATAAGATCGTGCATCTGGGGACCGATCTACGTATAGAGGGATTCGCATGGCCAGACAAAAAATGTATAAAGACTAAACAAAAACTAGTTACTTTTCTCGCACTACTCGCTTGTGGAACTCCCTTCTGGCTCCATGCATTCCAGCCAACTTTAATCTTCAGAATTTGAAATGCAATGTCAATCGCTATCTGCCACCCTTTTTATTTTGTTGTTGGTTATTAGTAATATTTTCTTTTCTAATTAAACCAAACGCAGTAACCCCTTGTGTCTTAGTAGCGTTAATGCCTTGCTTGAGGTGAACTCGATTAATATATATATATATATATATATATATATATATATATATATATATTACAACCAGAAAATGTTGGACTTGCTAAATGATAGAGTCACTTATGAACAGATCACCTCTATACAAATTTCTAAGAATCTAAAAGAATTTAATAGGTCCTATAAGAAACTCATATGTAATGAAGATAAGATTTGGCTTTCCCTTATTAACTACCATCCGACCGTCCCTAAAATTTATGGCCTCCCCAAAACCCATAAGCTTAACATTCCATTAAGGCCCATCATCTCGGGTATAGGCTCAGCTCCTCATAATATCGCTAGGTATTTAACTAAATTTCTAACTCCAATTCTGGGCACCGTAAGTAACGCACATATAAAGAATTCAGGCTCTCTTCTAAATAAGTTGAGAAATATTGATATAGATAACAAATTACTAGCTAGCTTAGACATCAAATCTTTATATACTAATATACCTGTTGATAAATGCATTAAACAATTAGAGAACCACCTTAAGAAAATTGACTTTAAGCTACCTATCTCTATCTCGAAATGCATCAAATTATGCATCCTTTGCACTTCACATTGTTTCTTCCAATATAATAATATTTATTATAAACAAAAATTTGGTTTACCGATGGGGAGTCCTCTCTCTGGATTCCTAGCATGCATATTTCTAGAATTTCTTGAATCTGGACCTTTTAAAGATGTCATTCCACCTGATACACATTACTTTCGATACATCGATGACATTTTATTTATATACCCACATAAGCATGATTTAAACAATATTACTGATAGATTAAATAGAATAGAACCTACTATAGAATTTACCTATGAACTTGAATCTAATAATTCCTTACCTTTTTTAGACATACTACTCATTAAAAATAAAAATAAATTAGAATTCAAAGTATATCGTAAACCTACATGTAAAAATGACTATTTACATTTTTACTCTCACCATGATACTAACACTAAGAGGGGTATTGTTATTGGATTCTATTTAAGGGCTCTTCGCATCTGTTCATCAAAATATTTAAATGATGAATTCACATATATTGAGGATACCTTTTCAAATCTTTCGTATCCGAGACAATTATTACAGAGAGCTAAAAATAAAGCGTTGAAAATTCACTCATCAGCGCAAAATGACACCTCGAAGGCCACTACAACTACATCAATGAAAGATACAATTTCAGCTGCCTCTGATAATATTTCGTTTGGTCGCATCTTTTTACCAAATAACCATTTGACCGAACGTATCTCTCATAATCTAAATGCATTAAAAATTAGAACTACTATATTACCTACTAGAACTATCCGTAGTTTATTAAATAGCACCAACAGACAACATATTAGATCCGATGCTTGCATCTATCAAATATCATGCAAAAACTGTGACCTAAAATATGTGGGTGAAACATGTAGGTCCGTAAAATCTCGTGTTTTCGAACATAAACGAGATATTCGCCTCGGAAATTTTAACAATGCTTTAGTTGTACACACAACTAAAGCAGATCATAATTTCGATTTCGATTCCGTGAAAGTATTAAAATATTTTCATAATAAAAATCTCAGGAGGATTTATGAAGCAGGTATAATATCCATCTCACGCACAGTGAATACTAGACCTGGTTTCTTTAATATTTCCCCTTTTTTAGCGAGATTGATGCTCGACAAGCATACACATAAAAAATTTTAGAACCTAATAGAATTCTTTTCATTTTCTTTTTTCATTTCAAAATAATCACAAACTTTTAGGAATACGTTTTGAAAGCGTCGCCCATGTGACGACGGCGTGACCATGTTAGACGGAAAGCTGATCGTTTTAAAAGTTTTCAGTTATCTGTTTTGGATAAGACTTGTGTTTTTTATGTCCATCATATTCAACTGTATTGTATTTTAATGAATATTGTCTTGAAAAAGGTTGATTAAACCGAAACGTCAGACGTCGATATTTCATTCATTTTAAACAACATTTAAGGATTTTGTTTGTTTTTTCAAAATTTGTCTTCATTCTGTCGGATTTATATCCATTTACACTTGCTTATATATATATATATATATATATATATATATATATATATATATATATATATATATACAAATGTAAGAGTAAGATTTCTGAGTTCAAAACATTAATTTAAAACATGCCTCAATACAAAAGTAGAGCAATGAATATTCATCTGTTATGCAGTGTTACATTAGAACATGCACATACCCACTACAAAACTATACATCTTGTTTCAACGTTAAAATTTTTTTTAACGTTTCATCAGGTGGAGATCACAATGCTACCAGGTGACATCGTGATTTCCCACCTGATGAAACGTTAAAAAAATTAACGTTCAAACAAGATGTACAGTTGTGTAGTGGGCATGTGCATGTTCTAATGTAACACTGCATAATAAACGAATATATATATATATATATATATATGTATATAAAGATCAAATAAAATAAAAATATAAAAAAACAAATAAAAATTGATATAAATAAAAAAAAGATAGCTGGCTTGCTAGCAGTTTGCACTCCTTCCTCGTTTTTTGAACAGATGTAGTGGTTTACTATTTACATTATTCGGACTATTGTCCTTATCTTTGTCGCCATGTTTATCACAACTTTTCGGCCGTTGTACGCTCCGGCCTTCTTCAGGGGGTTGGAATGTCGAACTAACCTCTTTATTTCGCTCGCTGGGGTTGACAGTTCTAGTTCCTCGTGCCATGTTTAATGGATGTATGTTATCATTTATTTCCTGTTAATTCCCCTCTCCAAGTTCTCCACTGCCTTAACCGGGTATTGAACTCACATTTTTTGGTTCCTGTCACTGGATCTAATCAAAGCCTTTATCCACTGTGCCATGTGTCCTTGAAATATAGACAGATACTGAGTAGTGGTTTATTCTCTGTTTCTGGTTTCGGATAAGATTTTCAGATCCTTCGAATGTCTTCTCATTCATTTTCTCTTCCAGTAACCCCTTTGTACCTTAGTGGTATTAACGCTGTTCTTGGGTGTGAAATGATTAAAAAAAAAAAATGATATACAGGTAAATTTAGTCAGAAGCAAAAACAAATGGAAAAGGCAAGCGCAGAAAAAGAAGAAAGAAGACCAGACTGAGAGAGAAAGAGAAAATCAAAGTGTTTTTGACGACCGAAGATTGAGTTTGTCGGAGCGACGTGAGGAGACTGAGTATTTTATAAATAGATTGAGTTGGCGTAATGAAGTGAATTAAGATAGATAGATAGATAGATAGATAGATAGATAGATAGATAGATAGAAAAAGAAAGGACACCAGACGATATGAAGCAAATATAAATCTAATATGAAACTCATAAAATTACATTTCTAAGTAAAATGTAGAGTATCTAATATTTATATTTCCTTTTACTTATTATTCAAATTATATAAGTTATTGACAATTATAAAAAATGACACACACACATATATATATATATATATATATATATATATATATATATATATATATATATATATATTACCAATTTGTGACTGATAGGGATAATAAGGATGATATTAATTCAGGGAGAGTTCAATGTAAACTACAGGGAATAATAATAATAATAATAATAATAATAATAATAATAATAATAAAGAAGAAGAAGAAGAAGAAGAAGAAGAAGAAGAAGAAGAAGAAGAAAATCTTAAAGATTAATTTCGGTTATAATTTATTTTGTGAATAACTATATATTCATCTCTTCACTTTTACTAAAAGATTTCGGCCTGAAGAAATGAATACATAGATAATCACAAAAAAATTATTACCGAAATGCATCGTTAAGGTTTTCTTCTTGATTATATTATATCTATCTATCTATCTATCTCTCTCTCTATATATATGTGTGTGTGTGTGTGTACTTGTATGTGTGTGTATGCTTGTATGTGTGTGTAAGCTTGTATGTGTGTGTGTGCATGTGTGTACGCTTGTGTGTGTGTGTGTGTGTGTGTGTGTGTCTGTGTGAATGTGTGTGCGCTTGTGTGTATGGTGGAAGTCGACTCGTGACAGTTTAAGACCAAATATATACATACATGCACGAGAGTTGAAGAAAAATGTCTCGGTTAGACCCACTTCCCAAAATCAATATTTCGATCTCTGTTCAGTGACATTGTGATTTTTTTTTTATAGTGGGTGGTAAGAACGTTTTAACACTACCCATGTATATATATATATATATATATATATATATATATATATATATATATATATATATATATGTGTGTGTGTGTGTGTGCGAGCGTGTGTGTGTGTGTATCTAAATATGTATGTAAATGTACATGTATATGCGTGTGTACAGATAGATAGATAGATAGATAGATAGATAGATAGATAGATAGATAGATAGATAGATAGAAAGAAGTGTATATATGTAAGTTTCTATGTATGTGCGTTCTCAAATTTTCTCACCCTTCAGTATAATCATTCGTTAAATTTACTAGGCGCGTCTCCATTGCCACTGGAAAAACTGCGATCACCATCCGCTTCAACTCAGCCACCTTTTCGCTCTGCTTGTGTCCTTCAACTCTGTTGTTCCACTAAAATTAATCCTGGTTGATTACGGCTTCATTAAACGAATGAAGACGGCCAGTGAACCGGTCCGGGGAATATACTACATAAATTACTGATACCAACACCCACGTAACTTGTGACTATTACCCATCATGCCACCAGATTCAGCTTTGTCAAACAATAAAACTTGCGAGGCTATAAATCGTAGACGACCGACCATGACGTATTTATTTTTCTCTTAGTTTCAGGTAGGAAGAAACTTCTTTTTAAAACTTATTACTAAATAACCGTTATATTCTCGTCATCGTTAAAGAATACCTGAAATTAAGTAAACGTAGCAGTCTCTATTTTACTAAGAACGTTCTTCCTGTTATATAACATCTAAAAATATGGAATACGAGTTATAAAGGGTCTGCGAATGAATATTAGTTGTCTCAGCACACGCCAGAATAAGAATAAGAAATATAATCACTGACGTATCAATTAGGAAACTTAAAAGTTGAAGTTCATTACTAAGATCTTATATTGTAGGATTAATGAAATGCACTTTACTTTTCAGTCTCACTTTTTATATATATATATATATATATATATATATATATATATATATATATATATATATATATATATATATATTACATTAATATTAATTATTATTAATAGAATAATAACAAATTTTGCTACTCAGAGTTTCATGCAATAATTAAGCTTTTAGTTTATTTTAAGCTTTAGCTTTTATTTTTAATACTTGTTTATTGTTATTACTTATCTGATTACTTATCGTACTAGTCTTCATATTTTAATCCTTTATTCTTATTTCATATTTATTTATTTTTAATCAATTCACTCCAAGCATGGCGATAATGGCTTTAAAATGCAAGGAACTAAATGGGAGAAAATTAGAAAACTTTAAAGAAACCGGAAACTCAATTCTAAGCAGGAAACGAGAGATAAAGCCCTACTCTTATTTAAAACCCGGTGAGGAGTATGAACCGGACGATAGGCTAATATCTATCTATCTATCTATATATATATATATATTAGCTCTATCTCTGATATAATATATTACACATATATATTTATATTATATACGCACACTTTTCACACACACACATATACGTGTGTGTGTATGTGTATGTGAAAAGTGTGCGTATATAAATATAAATATATATATATATGTGTAATATATTATATATATTATTATTATTTATATATTATATATGGTACTTATTAGAAAGCGCTCAATATCAGAGATAGAGCTAACATTATATATATATATATATATATATATATATATATATATATATATATATATATATATATATATATATATATATATCGCATGTATAGTGCTGGCGTTAATAAAACTGCTCAATATAATACAAGAGCTATGAAGTATATATTAATAATTATACATATTATCCCTCACCAATAGCACGACACTGAGTTTAATGCAAAACAAAATATTTAGATGCTGAATGTAGACTGGCTGTTACGTAATTTAATTTTAAAAAAATACCAGGTTATTGCAATATTGGCGTAGTTATATATTCTACTGGGATTACTGTTTTTAATTAAAAAAATATATGACTTATTTTGGAGTTGCGAATATTATTTTTTTATATATTAATCATAAAGTGAGATTACTTTAATAATATATATGTATATGATATATATATTTATATATATATATATATGCATATGTGTGGTGCGTGTATATATATATATATATATATATATATATATATGTGTGTGTGTGTGTGTGTGTGTGTGCATGTATATAGATATATATGCTGCTTGTCATTGAACAAGAACGACAGTTATGCTATTGTTTCAATCAATAGTGGTTATTTTATTTACAAGTCTGATCGTGGGGAACTAATGTGTGTCGGTCTTTTTGTGATAACGTCATGACAGCTTTCACCAAATCAAATGACAGATCATTCTTCTGTTTAGTAAATAGCTGCTTTAACAAGTGTAACAACAAGTGTAACAACAAGTGGTAAAATTACCTGTTGAACAAGACAGATTTTACAAGTGTAAATGTATACATGAATAGCTTTTTCTTTATAGTTTCAGCGCCTTGAGTATGTATTTTATAAGTACACACAGAAATCAAAAGCCTGATAGGTGTATATTTTAAAGTTGATGAATGAAAGCTGTATTTGAAAGAACGAAATTGATCATCATTCTTTGCTGTGGTTTATATG